CAGGCTGAGAGCCATGGGGCTCTTTAGCCTGGAAAAGCGCAGGCTCAGGGGTGACCTGATGGCCACCTATAAGTTTCTCAGGGGTGACCACCAGTGTCTGGGGGAACGTTTGTTCACCAGAGCACCCCAAGGGATGATGAGGTCGAACGGTCATAAACTACTGCAAGACTGTTTCAGGCTGGACATAAAGAAGAATTTCTTCACTGTCTGAGCCCCCAAGGTCTGGAACAGCCTGCCATCGGAGGTGGTTCAAGCACCTACATTGAACACCTTCATGAGCAAATTGGATGCTTATCTTGCTGGGATCCTATGATGCCAGCTGCCTTCCTGCCCTTTGGGCGGGGGGCTGGACTCAATGATCTTCCGAGGTCCCTTCCAGCCCTAATGTCTATGAAATCTATGAAATCTATGTAAGTCTGAGGACTGCCTGTACTCCAAAAACCTCGGCAAAAGTCACAGTAAAGGGGAATTTTTTTATTTTAGATCGAAATGTAGTCCTTGCAAAACAAATTTAATTAAAAAAAAAATCATTACTTAAAAAAAAACCTCAGCAAAAGTCACAGTAAAGGGGAACTTTTCGATTTTAAATCAAAATTGAGTCATTGCAAAACAAATATAATTTAAAAAAATCATAAGGGGGGGAGGTTGATTTGAAGCAGAAAGCTTCAAGCTAGGCCGTGAGCACAAGGAAGTGAAATGAAGTCCATTTCCATTACCCCGGCTATGCAAGAAGTAAAGGCAGCACATCGTGAGAACAAACATGTCGTTCCTCGAGGCAGAGCGGTTCAGTCAGATGGCAATCCCAGGTCTGCTACCGCCTGCCCCACTGTGCGACCTCGGCCGAGTCCTTTGCCTCTCTGATCCCATCTTCCCTCCGTGGTTTGTACTGCCCATTTACACTGCCTCACTTTGAAGAGGGAACCGTCCCGGTCTTTCCACCATTCCTAATTTAATGAGGCCCTCACCATAACCTAATTATTTTGGCAGTACTGTAGTATACTAATAATGCAGTTGGCAGATATTGTTCATCTTTACTAATGCGAACCCATGAATACACTTAATAGGCAGCCTACATTTCTCAAAAAGCATCTTGCACACTAACTCTCCTACAAGCCTAAGAATGTGCAAGCGTGTTTCCCTTGAGCAAAGCATTTGATAAGATTCTACAGGACATTTCCATTAAAAAATACCACCAGAGGAATGACAGTAAGCCAGACCCATTAGAAACTGGATTGACAGTAGCATAAAGATTGAATGCATTAATTAATGGTGAGGGGTTGAATTGCAAAGCGAGATTGAGCAAGAAGCTGTCAGTCTGAGCTGTGTCTGAGGCCACTTAGCTTTGTCATTCCTAAATTAGAAGACACTAAACCTGATTAGTGTATTGTCTGCACAAAGGAGCCAGTCAACTAGGATGTGTTTATTTTAAGGAGGTCAGAATCACAATGGTCCTTTCTGACCTTATTTACAAGCATCTCAAAGTCAAGATAGCTGAGAAAGTTTCATGTATCCTATATAAAGTCAGCAAGATACAGCAATTCCAGTGTACTCTGTAACAGCTGGGGACATGTATTAAAGAGAGATAAGTTTGAGCAACTGAAAAATAGAGCAACAAAATTGCCAAGTGGATTGCACATTCAGGAATGGGGGGTTTAAATCCAAGGGAAAAAAGACCTGGGGCTAAATTCAGACCAGTTTCTAATCTGACATGATAAGAAGCAGGTTTGATCAGATTAACCAATATCATCCTTTATTAAAAACCTAAGCCAAATCTATACCAACACTCACAGAGTCAAGCAAGATTTGGCTAATTACTGTTTCTGGTTGAAATGATTCATTTTTTGCATGTATTCCCTGGTTTAGTCTGGGATCAGAGATGAAAGTGCCCAGATGCTATGAAGGCAGCGGGGAAAGTCTATTCTTAGATTATTTGATCAGATCACACATCAGTAAAACAGTGGTAGCATTTTGAGAAGGCCTAACTCCCTTTTTGCAGCTTGAAGAGATCCCGGTAGTCATCCAAATGTCTGTTTCCACTTCATCCCAGCCTCCAGACAGCCTGCATTTCCCTATCGATAATGGTCTGTAAATACAGGGGTGTTCTGAAGAAGGAAGAGACTAAACGTTCTTATTAGTTAATGTGGACAGAACGAGTAATAATGGGCGTCAACTTCAGAAGGGACAATTTAGGATAAATATTAGGAAAAATTTAGGAAGCGCAATTAGGCAATGGAACAAACTATCCAGGCTGGTTTTATAATCTTTCGCTGGCAATATGAATGACGTGACACCATCCTATCTTTATTTAAGGATGATGAAAACACTCCTTCTATGATGCAGGGGGTGGACTGGATGACGTTGCAGAGTTCCCTTCCAACTCAAACAATTCTGTGATTTTTAGCTGGGTTGTAAAACATTGTTAATTACAATTTTTCTTATTTTACACTTGAAATTAGTGTGGTTGAATTATTACCATCGTTTCTGAAAATTCATGCTCTCTAACCAAATTTGTCCTCAGGTTTGTCCTCAGTCTGGCATGCATGCCGAGATTTTCTTGCTCAAACAACAATTTAGCTAAATATCACTATCAGATGGAAAAGAGATGGGCTGCCTTTATTTAAATGCACATATATCCCCTTGACGTTATCAGAATTCTGCCACATATGGTGCAAAGTTTGTGGTGAAAGGACGTACAGGTTGGAGAAACAGGTGGGGACAGTGATGAGCTGGAGCTCACACAAAGCTTTTCTTGCTCAAATGCAAAAAAAGTTAAGAAGCTAAAAAGGCGGTGATGTGTGTATACACCCCACAATCTATCCTGGGCTTGACTGGTAGCCTGCTTTCATCTCCAGTTCTACCTATTCCTCCCAAGAAAAGCATATGGTGTTGGAATTCCTAATTCCATTAACTAATTCTGGGTGCTCAGCTCTTAAAAAATTGAAATAGGACAAAAGAGTCTCCCACTTGTAACTGAAACCTGATTTTGGAAGCTTTTGCTTTAGAAGGTATATCCATGTCAGCTATAAAGTCACTTCGTTTAGGTCTGTGAAGTTACATTCAGACAAAACTAGCATAAGTGGTTCCGATGCTGCATAACACAATTCTGGAATTTGTTCCCTGGTGCAGTCAGGGTAAAAAGAAAGTCAGGGATTTAGAATCTAGCCTAAGGCATGACACTTGTTCACTTCACTGCAGTTTTCCTGAGTAAGGGAATTTCCGAGTAAGAAACTTGGACTGGCTCCAATATTTTTCCCAAACAGCACACTGGGATTCTGCAGAAAGAGTACAGCCTCTCTCTTCCCCTGCATGCACTTGAGTTGATGAGTTCAAAGGGGAGGGAAAGGGCGGACATTATGATTCTCAGGCCAGTGACATGCTTTAACAGGTATTAACATGGGACTTGTTTGGGCAGATAATTGGTATTAATAATACATAATAGTATAATACCATTTCACAGCTTTAATTTTTAAACTGACAGTAGTTTACAGT